AACTTGTGTTTTTGCTCGATAGTGGATAAAATAGAAAATACAAGACAATCAACCGCATCTAAAGTAGAGCGACGCTTACAATAAGCAAACTGATTGGAATCACGAAAATAAAGACTAGAGGATAGGTGCTTAATAATAATAATACGCTCAAAAGTCTTAAGTAATACTGAAGATAAAGCAATAGGCCGAAACTTACCCTTTTCTTTCTTAGGTAGTGGAGTGGTGCGCACATCACACCATGTGTTAACTAGACTTCCTTCTGACCGACATGTACTAAAGATAAATGAAACGACTTGTGCGAGGTGGTTTGCACATGTTTTAAGGACCACCGGGATTAACCCGTCAGGACCAGCGGATTTATTTCCACTGACAGCATTGAACTCCTTTAAAACTTGCTCTATTGTGACAGACACAGGAAGGTGGAAATCAAGTGACGTGGTTGTACTCGGTAAAGCTTGCACAACGTTTTTCATGGAAGCACACCATTTGTTGAGCTCATTGATATCACATGAGGCTGTAGTTGGCAGCCATTCTCATATCTGTGGCCTGGGGATGCGCTGGGTGGTATAAAACTCTGCTCATCCAAGAATCTGAAAATAGGCCAGGTCTACATATGAATACTGCAAGAAACATTAGAGCACACGAGGAGGTAACTGAGATTAGTATCAAGCGCTATATTCTATTAGAGTCGTTTGTGTTTTTAGTCAGATAGAATAAATCCGTACTTGGTGAAGAATACCGACTAGCAATCAGTGACGAGAAATTCATCCTAATAATAATAATGAACATGGCTCATTCGGGACGCGCCCTGTGGGGGTGATGAATCATCGAAGTGATCTTCAGCTATCTTAATCAATTCTGACCGCGATTTTGGAAAATTTAGTCATGGGCTAAGCGTACTCCAGATGAACCAATCACTCAGTATCACATGATCTGGCAGGCCAAATCGTTGACTAATTTCTCAGTGCATGTATGTGCTAATCGCTACACTCGATTACGAAGTGGATTTGTTTTTCCGGTCCTCAGTCCTATGGGAACCCGAATGTTGTTTCGTAACCGTTTTCCGAAACAGATTGACTGTGCTCATTTGATATTCCACGGTACACCTCATAGCTGTTTGTATTGTAGTCAACGCATAGAGGTACACGTTCAAGCTCGGATATGGGACAGTGTGCTTGTATACGAGAGCCGGATTTCAGTTAACCAACAATCCGTGGTGATCACCTATGATTTGTAACTATTTGCTTGCATCTGTAGTGGAGTTAAACTGAGAATTTATCATGGGCTGTGGAAGAGCATCACCATTGTGGTGTTCTGTATCTGTGCAGATCCGAACAGTTGATTTGAAACGTAATTGAACAAGTACCGTCTTTTTGCGCGGTCTTTAAGTCTACGCCACATCTCTCTCAGAAATTGAACTAGAAAAAAATACGCATCGTTGTTCGTTACGCGCACTCGATAACCCAAGACTTTGTATGCCAAGGTGAGAACCCTGACACGGAGACTTGGTTAAATTATGTTGTCGTCTTTGGTTTCCCGGTTGGGTATGCCGAACGACATAGCTGAGTGCCGGGAATACCGATGGTCGCACATTCACCCGAGTTCTTCGCAAACTTCATCTTACTGCATTCTCTATTGCTGACCAGGTACCGCCTGCAGCTTTCTGACAATTTTCTCTCTCCCGCATCATTGTTCGACCCAATACACAGCTGGAGTCACCGCAAGAAAGCGCAATGATTACGGTTCTATGCATTGAAACCGGTCAAACAAAATCCAGCGTTTCGAATTCCCTGTTGTTGCTTGAATCCTTGTGTTCGCTGAACCCTAAACGCATCGAATGAGTGCAATGTTGCCTACCCTTGACTGTATCCCCGTTATCTCGCGTCGGCAACAATAATCTCCGTGGTCTTGGAGAAAGTTATTAGTCAAAGCACAATCAAATCTGATTCGGTTAAACATCTAGATGTCACCTTCGCCCATGACATATCCGGGATTACTCAATTTATTCACGTGTTTGTAAAATTTCAAAGACTACCCTTTTATGCATACAGGATCAGGGAGACTGGCCGTTCCGCATAAAATTTTCTTCAATTCGTGACTGCCTGCATCCTTCCGCATAGTTTATACTGTTTCCCGATATTTAATCATGGTTTGCAACAGTAAGACATCACGCTGTTCCACAGATCCGATACAGCTGTGGCCATTGATATTTTATTTCCAAACCTTTCGACGACGCTTATGAGACGTTTATTGACAAGATAAAATAAATGTGACCACAAGCACTCTACGCACTGTGAAAACTGAGTCAAATCCCGGAAATCGGAGCAAAGTTGAACTGCTTCGGGCGCGCACTTTCACATGCCGAAACAACGCAATTTCACATCGGACTCGGCTCTCGGTTAATACTAACACAATTTTCACTCGCTTAGGGGAACAAATATTAGGATATTAGGATGCACGAACGTCACGACACTCAGTGTCTCTGAACGTCGGTTACGATTATACTAAGGTCCCTATCCGGGAACTTATGTGGAAGTTTCCTGGTTAGGGTTTTCATTAGCTTAGCTTAAAAGAGAAATTACGGTGTACCGGTCTTTTCCTGATATATATATATA